CGGCGATATGCTCATTCAAATTCCAATCTAGCTAAGCACAAGTCTCCTCCTTGGCGCGAAACAACCCCAACCCTAACGCCTGCCTCCCCCCCCCCCTAAACATTTGGATATTTGCGTATTTATTTACAAGCAGTGGCTAGTTGTATCGCCCTCTGGTCTCAATTAATTCCTCACAGAGAGTTTCACTTCAGCAGCAGAAAGACACTCCATAAATTTCAATCGTTCTATATCATTGCAATGGCGAAATTAAGCGACTTGCCTAGCGAACTAGTCTACCAAATAATAGAGTATATCCTTGTTCGCGATGACCAGGGTCCTGATGACTCCATCGATGCTGATCACTATCGTCTGCTCGATCACAACGGAATCGGGCCAATCAAATCAAAACCGAGGCCTCATCTAGAGCGATTTAGTCGTAATCCTACTCCTCGGACCCTTCCTCGTCACTTTCGAGCTGCTGCAGCTTTACAGCCCCATGCTTCGTGGCCGGGTGGTGAGTAACATAGGCAACACTTTGGCTAGGTAGATCTACTGACTTTGTGTTTAATCTCGCGCTGTAGCTATTCCATCCAATCATCTCCTGCCACTTTCACTGGTCAACCGTACTTTTCGAAGATGTGCCCAGGAGTTACTGTTCAAAAATGTACCTGTATTGAGTAGGTGGAGGGCGATCTCATTGCTTCAGACACTTACACGGCATGCAATCCAGAATCCATCGACTCTTCCGGGGGGATGGTTCAATCGAAAACATAGGAGGAACGCCCAGGACAATAACGTCTCGATGGTCCGATGGTTCGACATTGATTATTCTCGCCTGAGCAGTTTAGCACGCCACGTCCGCTCCTTACAGCTTGTTTGTGACGGCATCTGTTCGGTGTCAAAGGGTAGTGGCGATTTGTTCTGTGGAATCATCCGGAGCTGTCCCCTACTCATGAATATCGCCATCAGTACTGCGGTGTCGATGGACTGTAAGGACCTTATGTTGGAGGCCCTGTCGAGTCGACCACTGATCAAAGAGTTCGTTATCCTCGACAACTTGGATCACAACAATCGGTCGATCTTTCAGTGGAATGTCGACGATGTCGTTGGTCGATTATTCTCGAAATGGGACCACCTTGAGACGGTAGAATTGAGTGGGCTTAGGGGTCCGTCAGGCCGACTGATGGGGACCGCTCAGAGGCCAATACCCATTCTAAATTGCGAGGTGCTAACACTGATCCTTCGAAACCCGGAATTGGACGAGCAAGAGCTCTCGAGGTTTCTGAAAAACTTTCGACATAGCATGCGGACGCTCGAGATTAGCAATCCAGGCGGAGGGATCGACTTGGAAGGCTTTTGTCGGATCCTTCAAGGGTCTACGAATCCCGACCTGGAGTGTTTGAAGGTTGAGATTGACTGGCGCTTTGACGACTCAGAGTCCATAACATCATCCGCCGGGGGCGATGTCAATCACGATATCCCTTCTTCCAACAAAAGCCTGCTAGATGCCGTCTTTGAGTCTCCCTCCGCACTCAGGAGACTTAAATCCTTATCCTTTACTGGCGACACCGCAACAAGCAAGCTGTTCCAGTCCTTGCCCGATTCGATTGTTAAGCTTGCCTGGGAGGACTGTGATATATGTCTCACTGCTTTCGCTGAAGTCCTTTCGAGCTCAACACAGGACAGACCTGTTTTGCCTAATCTGAAGTCTTGTTCGGTTCGCCATCGTTGGGGATGTCAGTTCTTTTGCTTTCTTTCTTCTTATCATATTGACAATAGAGTTCTACGATGAGAACCGGATTGCTTAACCTTCAAACAAAACACTTCTTATTTGTTTCTAGTGAGCCGAGAGGAAATACGAAACGCCGAAACAGCGTTAGAACTTAGAAGTCCGTGAAGCATATTTACAACGCGATTTCACTATGGCAGATGGCTCACCTACCTGATAGGATGGATTTCCCAGATGGATCCTTATTCTATCAATCACTCGATACGTCAATCAAAGAGTGGCATAGACCGGTGAGATTGGGTCGCACTCCCAATCCATCACAGGATCTATCTAGATGGGATGGACCTGATTATTATTCCCTTGGTGTCCTGTCCTCTGTCCTTCAATCCCCCAACATATGGGTACATTTTCTGGCTTGCTTTCTTGCCCCAGTGGCGCAAAGAACAATAAAAACAACAACACGTGAAGCCCCATGGCAAAACATTAAAAGAACCCCATCCAAGTTCTCACCAACAAGGACTCATGATGCGGTCCTGGACCTAGACTTTCAATGCTTTCTTTTTTTTCTTTTGCATCAATTTAAGAGCATCTCCACTTGGTGATCTAAACCAGGTTGCCATGCTTTATTTAGCAACTCAACACACTGGGGACTGGGAAATGCCATTCCCCAGGGCTTTCTTTTGTCTTTCTCAGGGGAAGGCACTTCTATTTAAGAAGTGCCTTTTCTGGTTATTTTCCCCCCATCAGCAATCCATCCAACCTCTCACACACCAAAGAAAACAAACACACCCACCAACAACAAAAAAATTAAAGACTCTTTATTTAAAAATGGTCAATATTGTAAATGGACCATTTACTTCTAATATAATTAATACATATGAATATTACACTGATATTATTAACTGCCTTGAATTACGGCTGTTTATATTGCAGGGACCACTTCTTGGAGGAGTATTGTGAGGTTGTGCCCTTCACGGGGAAGTTCAAAAGGTGTTGTGAGGCTAACAGAAAGTGTAGCTTCCAAGGAAATAAGCTGCCTTTTTCTCCTCTCATTCTGTCAATGTACTTTGCTTACACTGACATAAATATCACTCATTTAATTTTCCTACACAGCTACAGTACTTATTGAGACCCTATACCATAACATTATATTACACTAAGATCAGGGGGTTTCCCAGCCCCTTGGATGCCAGGGCACTTGGGAATCTTCCAATGTACTTGGCAGATTCCCAACAAACAAAAAAACAGCCCTGTAGGGGCATTACATTAGAGATGGTCGGGGATAATCCGCTGTGGATATCCGCTATCCGCTGGCGGATACCCGCCAGAGCCAGCGGATACCCACCAGGGGGTGCAGATTCGGCTTCCAATGGCCATTTTCCTGCCCAAATCTGGTGGATATCCGGGTATCCCCATGGATACCCGAGGCCAATGGCCGGCTGGAAGGGTTTCCTTCCAGCTTGCAAGGATGTACCTTTCTGGCTGGAAGGGCTTCCTTTCAGTCGGCGAGGTACTGGAAGGAAGCCCTTTGTCAGCCTTAGAGCCAGCCAAGCTGGCCAAAAGACTGCCAAAACTGCCCATTTCTACTCCAAATATTATTCTATCTTTTTCAGCTTAAGACTTTTAACCTTTTTGACTTCAGAAATGGATTCCTGGTGTAAAATTAACCCTAGTCACCACTGATCACTTTTACCCAACTCCATTCCTTCATTGACTTTGTAACTATTCACAGTACTCTAAGAATTATTCCAACCCTTAGGTTTCAGCTCCCTCTACCACATGTACATGCCAGATTACATAATCCAACTTTGAAAATCCTCTCTGAGCTTGTTGATTCCGCTTCCAGAGGATTTTCAGACTCCAGACCACCCAGAAACCACAACAACCAGTACCAGATCCAGCTCACACTTATCAACCAGAAGAACCTTACTTTTCCTGCCTTTCCCACTACTCAGTGTCATTGGTGTCATCAGTAAGTTACTTCTTTAAGTCCAGCTAGCATCTTTCTGCTTGTTTTCTTTCTCTGTCACTCTCACCTCTTTCTCTTCCTTCTCTAAACCAAAAGCCCTGATCAACCAAAGCTCCAATAGCTTCAAAGATTCTTCTCTTTTATTGTTTGGTAGTAAAACTGAAAACTACATAGGTTTCCCTTTAAAGAACCTTGATCATCCTTGATCTAAAAAATTGTGGTTGATCTGATTTATCAGAATCAATAACCCATTTCAGTTTCTGTTGATTTGGAGGCGTCAGAGTTAGCTCCGCTTATAACAGCTATCCTACTAAGGAAAATAAGACTGTCAGCAGCCATCCCAAAGAGGACAGTAAGACTGCCAGAATTTTATCATCTTCTTAAAATAAATAAAGAACAAAAAATATTTCTTTCTATTTCATTCCTCTTCTCCCTTTTCTCTTACTTTTATTTGTATTCCTCTTCTTATAAGAAATACATATAAAAGTGCCCCCCAAAACCTTGTGTCCTGCTGTCACTATTGAGACCCAGGCTCACAATTGGGGGCCTCATCGGGAAATTTTATTCCAAAGACCTCTTATAATCATACTTCTAAACTCAATTCATCAGGCAAATAAAAAAAAGAAAAAAATTTTTTTTTTACATTATTCCTCCCTTTCTTCCTCGAAAAGAAAGAAGAAAACAAGATACATATAGATATCCCGCTCATCAGTTTTTCAAAAACCAATATCTCTATTCTTCATCGCGGAGCGCTTTTCAAAAATAAGATTCTCATCGCGGAGCGCTCGCGAAAATCCTTTGTCCGCTTGATTATCCTATCGAAGATATCAGTTGTTAACCAACTATCTTCTTGATTCTGTTTCGTTCCCTGGTCGAACCCATCCTCTCTTTTGCGAAGTGAAGAAAAACGAACAGATCTTACTCGAATCGTCTGACTTGTCATCCATCCCTTCAGAATCTGAAAAGGACTCGGACCTCTTAGACGAAACGCTTCTCGCTCCTCCAAAAAACGGAAACCGCATCTCCTCAAAAGAGTGGACTCCGATCACGACTTCAGGAGCTCACAGATCCAAGAAACGCACAGCTAAAAAAGCGCCTAACGAGACTGAACCCGTTCGTTACCCCGAGTGGACTCCCGCTATTTCTACTTACTTGAACAAGCCGGATAAAACTAAAAGAAAACCTCGAAAAAAGAAAGGAAAAGGTCCGTTTCCCTAACTTAGAATTCTGTCCCAAAGTTAAGATCTTTATCTTCTCAGATACCGAATCCTAGATCTAACTGTATACCTTCTACAATTTATCTCCTATATATTTTCCTCCGACATGGGTGCCCATCTCAGAAATGGAAGAAACATCTCGATCGAACAACAACAACGAGAGCTCCAACGCAGAGAACAGTCGCGACGAGAGACAAAGTCACCGCCAGAATCTGGAAGAGGAGACCGACCTGCTGGACTACAGCGAGGAGATGACCAGAGATACGTCTTCAGTCCCGCCGCCGCCGAGCGGCTTCGCAAGCTTAGGGAGCAGTCTGCCGTCGATTACAGACACCGCTACGAGGCGACAGGCGGCAGAAGCATCGCAGTCGGAGCGAGGAATTTCACCCGCCTTAATCAATTCCAGAGCGACTTCTTTAGCGCTAGAGACGATGTCCAACCGATCGACTCCGGTACCTCGGCCCATAGACCGACTAACTTTTCCGGTCAATATGAATACCGAGACGGGCCGGCAGGTTTTGACTCCGATCCCTCGTCAAAGCCATCAGACCCAGTTTCCAGTCCTGGAACAGCCTCTAGCCCCACAGGAAGAAGACACGATAATGGACAACACGGAGTTGGAAACAGTAATCAACCTGTTCAACGATCAGTGGAACATGTTTGTCCAAGCCCGAGAGAACAACAACCCGCGATTGATGAGAGTAGCTCTCATCCAAGCCATCTCCAGCCAAGAGGAGATCCGACTACTAGCCGGAGGAGCGGAGATGCTCCGCATCAGCGAGAACTGGATAGCTCGGGAAGAACTAGCCGATCTAGAGAGGTCCCAACTAGCCAACCAGACCCAACCGGCGAGCCGCTTGGCGATAACTCAGACTCCCCACGAGCACACAGTCAGCCCGTCCCCGATGCCGCTGCGCCGTTCGATACGCCAACCCTCGGACGTCACGTTCCTGGGTACTGGCCCCATACAGCAAGGAAACAACCCTATGCCTCCACCCCCGCCACCGTCTACTCAACCCCCCTCGGCCATAGTCAGGCAGAACACCGCACAACAAGTGCTTCAACACAACCAGCCGACTCGTCCTCAATACAGAGAAGGGGGCTATTACCAACAACCACCTCATCTAGAGACGACGGTTCAGAACCAAGCGCCGCAGTACCAGCAGCAAACCGGAGTCGTCCCGAACTACGCGCCCCAACGGCCCCACCGCCCTCCACAGCAACGAAACTGGAGAGGATCTGGGAGGAATTGGAGACGCCCCCAAGACCAGACGAGCAGGTTACTCGAAGTAGGGGACTATCTCATGAGAGCGGAGAGGATTGCGGGCAGGGTGTTCAGAACTCGAGGCAGAGGGAGAGCGAGAGGAAGGGGGAGAGGACAACCCCCTCGACGAGAAGAACCCCCAGCACAGAACCACCAGTAGACCCACCTCTTATTTTTGATCCAGACCTTCTTTCAAATCCCTCAACAAAAGAGTTTTTTCTTAGGAATATTAATAATGATCTAACTCAAGATGTACCTCTACTTATTGAGGATAGATTGAAAGATTTGTTTTCTATTTTTCTCTCTGAACTGTCTGGTACCATGGAATCCATACCTAACTCTTTGTTAGAGTCTTGTCTAGCAAATTTCAATAATTCCATGAAAAATTCAATTTCAGCATTAGTAAACAATGAAATAGTCCCATCCATTGTGAATAAAATTGTTGAATCATTGAGTGAGAGGAAATTTCAGACCACTGGCCATTGTCAGTGTTCTTGTGACATGGAAGTAATAAAGACCCACTTTGACAAGAAAAATGAAGCGCTCCAAGATGTGCTCTACGTGAGAGATACTCTACACCACTCTGAGAGAGAAGAGTTAATGGATAAATTGAAGAGAATGGAAATCAAATTACTTGGTAAATGTCAGCCACCGTGATGCCAAGATGGTAAATCTTCTAGCTACACGTGGTGCAAAACTTAAGATGACAGAGTTTGAACTCTGGGACTGAAGAGTCCGGTGTGTAATTCCAACAATGAGTGGTAATTACAAGGTTATGAGATAGTAGAAATGAACAATTATATCAATAAATATTGATATAATTTAAACAGAGGGGCCTGATAAATCAGGGGTGGTTTAGTTCCCTCTAAGGTATCGTGCAAAAGCAGAGGATTTAGGTACCTGTTAACACTGGGGCCTGTTTAACAGGGGTGGTTTAAATCCCAGAAGAAAGTAGTAAGAATCTCAAGAAAGAAGGGGGCATTATGTACTAATAAAGCCCCTTAAGTCTTGAGGTTCTGATAGACAGAGAATTAAAGCAAGAGACAATACATTACCAGACAGATACAAATGTTAATCATTTGGGACGGTGGGTAATCTAAAGTGGGTTGTAATAATCTGATGAATCCTTATTTGGGGGGACAGAGGGCTCTTTATATACCCGTGGAGGCATCTGGGAGATCAGGGTCAACTTGTGGGTGCTTCATGCATGGAGGCTGAAACATGTGACCATCTCCTTGGAAATGTGCCACAGGTGTTCTGTAGAAGATTAAAGCTGAAACATGTGGCTATTTCCTTGGAAAAGTGCCACACACGTGTTATCAATATACAATTGTATGTTTGAAACAACAAATCAGTTTCAGGTCTTAAACCTGTTTATTAGCATATTTAATTATAAACATAAGCATATTTCATCTCCTGCTTGAAGGTACACTCTATATCTTTAATGTAGATTTCCCACATGAAGTAGTTGAAATATAGGGTACCTTTGAGTGAGTTACCCTAGGTTATTCTTCATATAGATTAAGAATATTGAGAAATAATACCCTTATTATTTGATCTTCTCATTTATTTCCTGCACTATTCATAATAATGTCTTTTTTGTATTTTCTAAATTGTTTGTGTACTATGACAGGTTGTCTCTGCTATAGTAGCAAGCTGACATTCCCTACCCCTAAGATGAGTCTCTGACTCACAAAGAATTATTTTCCTAAATAAGCAGAAAGGGATAAAGCATTGAAGATCTACCATAAATTTCTGCTCCATGTTGAACATTTATCATTTATTTTCCCACTTTATTAATCATAGGGTTTCTTAATTTCTAATCTAGGATGCTAAGTATTTGTAGTCAATCTGAAAAAATCAACACTCTTACTTGGTACCTATTAATTTTAGATTTACCATCTCAAGTTTTTCCTCAGGTTCAGGGATTTTGTTGAATATAGCTGACTTTCCAGTTCAGGGATCATTGGATATAACTGGATTGACTGGTTCAGGGATTCTTAAGATATAACATGAAGATTTATTCTTGATTGTATATCTTGGATTATTCTTTCAAGGTTTCTAAGAGCTTATTTGATGAGCAAAACTAGTTTTTAGTTAAAAATATTGAGCTATAGAACTGGAGGTTGAACTAAATTGATCCACATCTATTTTTTCATCACAGATTTTTAATACTTTGTCAAGCATTTCTCTCTATTTGATTACTCTTTTGTCTAGTTGTGTAGCTTATATTTTCATTGCTTTGTTGGAAGGAAAACACGGTCCTTTATCATTGATTATGTAGCCTAGCTGATTTCTGATTTGAAAAAGATTGATAGTTGCCTTTCATAGTTCAGTTGATAAAAACCAGATACCTATAATACATACTTAAATGTTGCTACAATTTTTTCATCAATTCCCACTAGTGCATCATCTCTGCTTGAGTATCAGATTTTGAAGCTGAAGGCTGTTTCTTAGCTCCCTACAAGCAGAGATTTGTGGTAGGGTGACCACTGATTGTGAGTTGGGTGCCTTTGATGTGCCATTGGAACGTCTTGGCTTTGGGTAGGGCCAATGCACCGAGCTTACTATAGGGAGACATATTAACTTCTCTGTTTCACTGTGTTTTTGTACTCTATTCGGATCAAGATAGACCAATGAGGACCAGGAAGATTGTGATTTGCTTATTGGATTCTAAAGTTTGAAGTGGGCTTATTTGTTTCCTCAATCAACTTAAAGATAAAAGAGTTAATGGACCTTTGAGGCGAGGGTATAATCAGAGGAAGAGTGCTAGTGCGTGTGATGGGTGCATATTGTTGAATACAGTTCCATTCAGATATGGTGCTGGATGGCCGTCCTCCCAAGTCGTTGATGAAAGCTGATCATGAGGGATTGGCGCCTCAATCGAGTAAATTTTTTTAACGGGTTTCTAGCTACAAATCGGGCTGCAAGAGTGATTGCTTCCTCTCCATCTTTGTTATGAAAGTTGAGGATATCCATTCACCTCTCTTAGGGTACTCCAACCATTGACTTGAAGTCGTTTCAGGTACTCCGACATCGACTTGGAGTCGTGTCGTTTCTAGGCGATAGCGTATTTTTGTTGAGGCAGCATTAGATGGATTGCCATTGATCATACATTCCGTTGCTTTAGGAAGTGTCTCAGACCAGACTGGTATCACATTTGCGTTTTCTGTCTGCAACCTCAAGTCTTCATCATCAGGAAAGTCACACTAATATCTCTTAATCCGGGCTGATTCTGAGGGTGCAGTGTTGACTGTGAATGGAAGATCCTCGATTGGAATAAGGGTACTTTTTTGGCTTACTGGTAATGCCTTCCATGTGTGAGTTATTCAAAACGTTTCTGAGCTGTTGTATCACTTTAAACGATCGACTCCAAAGCATGCTAAAATCGCGACTGTGGGCTGAAGGTTGTTGTTTCCGACTTATTGATAGAAGAAGAGCAGCAATGTGTTTTGATTCCGATTTCTTTTAGTTTTATTTACTATTGAAGCCCTAGTCAAAGTGATTCTATAATGCTAGATTTTTAGAAGAGATAACTGTGCAAGAGGTTTTGCTTGATGCGAAGGAATAGCTTGCAGCAAGCCGAGCGATAGAATCAAAAGCTCAACAAGGTCTGTTTGACAAATTGAATACCAGAAATCAGTGAATACACACTCTTGTCTAAAAGGTGTCTGATAAGTTGAACCGAGTTTGATAATAATGCAATGACCAGTAATTGGGCTCATAGTTGTTTGAAACAAGCAATTTATGAGTCAGTCTGTGGCAAATTAAGACCTGTAGAAGAGAAGTGATCTCGCTGGTGTTTGAACATTGTTATCCAATATTTTGAAGTTTTATCTCAACTCAGCAAGTAGTTGTTTAGACAAACAACAAGGCTAATTCATTTTCTTAGGCTTTATTGTACAAGATTGCCTTTTTTAGTTCATGAAATCACAAGTAGATGAACGCTTCCAAGACATAAAACGAAGAAAGATGAAGTCAAAAAACAACGGAATGGTTTTTCAGCTAACCAAAAACTATGATGGTGAAGCAAAAATTTGATTTCCAAAAAAGAATAACAACAACGGATGGCTTCTTCTGTGGTAGTCCTCTAGATTAACTACAGACTCTATTCTTCTTGAAAAAACAGAAAAAAAAATGATTGATCCTCCGAGTAGAGAGGTTTGTTCACGGTCACAACATCGATTTTATGAAGTACGTTGAGCTGAGGGACTCAATAATGAGCCTGTAGGATCAAAGGCAGTTCTGGTCGATGCTTCAGGGGGGATATAGATTGAGTGCTGGTCGCATCATTCTTCTATAGTCGTGTGTAATTGCATCACATAGCCGAGCTGGTTTCTGGATCGAGTTGAAAAGCTTGATACATGTCTTTTCCTCTTTGCTTTGGGGCAAAGGACAACATTTTATAGGAACTAAGGTCATTGGTTTTAAGCGATGATATTGGCTAGGGTTAGCCATCAAGACGGTATGCTCGACTTCCAGAGACTCGATGGTAACCATGGTGGTGTTAGTATGTGACTCGGAGCTGGTTCCATCTTTCGATTTTTCTACAAATTCTTGAGAATGTCAAAAGATTCATTACGAGGAGATAGACTTATTCACATACCATTAATTCTGTGGTTTGATGACCTCTTTGATTTTAGACATTTGGGCTTCCTTCAACTGACGTCTGAGCTCTATTTTTCCTTCCCGAACCTGTTGGGCGACTCTTTTTCCAGTACTTCATATACACAGAAATTGGTCTGTTTGTATTCAATTGTCTGAGATCGTCGGGCAATCTTCTTGAATCCAATCCCGATATTTGTCTTCTTTGTGCTAGATGGTTTCCGGTTGGGCATCTTGTTCTTCTTTGGCCATTTTTTTTGAGTTATCAAGTGGGATTGTTGGTTTCTTTCTAGTCTTATTGGAATAAGAGCTTTGATCGCAAGTAGTAACTAGGAGTTGGAATCGAGACTAGAGTTGCATCTAGAAGCAATTTGGATGAATGGAAATTTTGTTTCAATCAGTTTAGTGGGTTTCCAGTGAAGATGATGCAGTGGTGCTTACAATCATTTGATACCAAGTTGGGGAAGCTGGTCAAAGAGGATGTTAATGATAGTGAGAAGACAGCTAATGTTGTTGAAACCACTATTGGAGGTCCAGTTTTGGTCTCTGACTGTGATGTTTAGTAACATTTTATTAGTAATCAGGAAAGAGCGAGTTCTTCAATGAGACATAAGTACGAAATAAACACTCATCAGTTCAGCAAATGAGAACGGAGATAGTTCTTTATTTTTTCTTTGGATTTTGCTTAGCGAATGAGTACATAAGTCAACAAGAATGGAGATGGAGGGATCGTTGTCTATTAAGTCTGACAAGCTGGTGATTGAGTCGTGTCGGACACTGTGACGAGGTTTCATAAAT